TCACCTCCATCCTCAATTAATCTCTGTGGCTCTGCCGCCACTAATTGACTTCACTCAGACTCCTTTTTTCCGGCCAATTACGGCCCTCAGCTTTAACAGTGGTCCTAATGGCAACAGAGCTTGTCTTAGATAGGAAAACACTCTGCGCCTTTCCCGTTTCAAAGGACACGTGTTTAAGGGGAACGTTGCAGCAGGCCGCTTCGGACCACCATCACTTTCGGGGGAACACCAGCAAGGGTTTGTCGGAGGAGACCACTGCCGCCGGGACTGTTGATCCTCTGGAGCAAGTCATGACAGAATTGTTGAGCTTATTTGTCTCCACCATTTACAGAGTGTCCCTGTGATGCCAGTAAACCGTCCCCTCTGTCTACCTGTCACACAGAAGGAGGCACTACATTATGTTGACCCAAGTTGTCAAATGAGTCTAACGAGGTGGTAATCAGCAGATGTCGGAGGCTTTCTCGCTGTTTTGGGAGAGAATTTCCTCGTTAGACGCCAACTGACACCGCTGCTGGGAACACCTCTGCATTGCTTCCGCTCACGTATAGAGAAAAGCAGGGTACCTTTGAAAGCCTGTTGTTATTTAACTGCCTGTTTACTGTCTGCCGCGGTAAATACCTGTGCTGCGATTGTTTTGTCCGTGGTGAAGTGAGGACATGCTGCTGTGCCAAGAAATGAGCTGAGCTGCAGGGATTCGGGGAAGGACAGGTCTTTTTGCTTTCTGCAGAGGGTTCTTGTGCCCAATTTGTGAGGCACTGAGATTGATGGTTTCACCTGAGTTTTCAGTTTAGAGTGTGCAAGCTTATTCGCCAAAAAGTTGGTGCATTATCCATCGGCAGATATTTCAGGACGTTGGAGCACAGGGACATGTTTTTATGGCTGGTATTGTTGGTCTGCTTCTGGATTGGACTGCTATTAAACATACATGAAATATTTATACTCCCCAGAGGATGAAGCCTATTGGCTGTAGAGTTTCCGTGAGTTTCCGTTCCACCTCGAGTTTCTCATTTGTCTGTGTGACTCTGTGTGCAAATCATCAAATGTTAGCACGCTAACAAGATAAATTATACCCCCCTTAAGCGTGTTAGCATTGTTACCGATGAGGATCTATTATTGTAACTGGTTAGCATTGAGCTCAAAGCATCAAGGTTGTTACCTCCTGTCTGTTGGTTTATTGGTCTGTTTGATTTTAAGGATGTGGTTCAGACGAATAACTTTTTTTACTTTCTTTAATATTGTGAGATGAGACATTTCCGAGGGAACTGTTCATGGGTCTTTGTGAAAAAAACAACCAGGCATATTTAGGGAACAGATATTTATGTGTGTTGGTGAATGTTATGTGGCTCCATTGACTTTAAGGGGACTATTGGGCCTTGTTGGAGAAGTGCGCTCTACAACCCCACAGTGTTTGTCAGCAGAGAAAATGCTGCTCTGTGCTAATAAACCTGTTTTATTGGGACTGAAGGTCTTAATCTGCTCTTTTGTCTGATAAACACGTTGTTTCTCAATGAAATAGTTTTTGCAAAGCACCTCAGTAGTTTTTCACATGAGCAACTGAAAGTAACAGATGGTGAAGTGAGCTGAGAGAAGCAGTTTCCCATCGCAGAAGTATCCTGGGAACGGCGGAGAGATGACGGGCAGCAGCATGTGCTCTGTTTTCATTTGTGTGCATGTGTGTGATAGAAATAAAGTTCTGGTTGTGTTCGAACATCCGTACTGCATGTTTATTCAGCAGGTCTTTCATTATTGAGCAAAGTAAGGCCTCTCCTCCTCTGTATGTGTAGACGCTGAACACTAAAAGCAGCTTTAGACGGCACCAGAGCGAGGGTTTGGTTTTGATTTGCCTTTATCCTCACTGATCTAAGAAGCAGAAGACGAGGGGCTGCAGCGGAGTCGGCGACGAGGAGCTGCACACATCACTTGAAAGCAGAGGCTGGTGGGAAAAACAGAGGCTGGCGGGAGTAAACAGAGGGTTAAGTGGATAGCGGTGAAGGAAAGAACAAGAGGGGGGGGGGAGGCAGACAGCTATTCAGGCGGCGATGTCAAACATAGGTGCGAGTGCCCCTCCGCAGAAGCAAACAGTCAGAGGCGCAGTCAGAGATGGAGCAATAGAATGATGATGAAAGGCCAGGAGGAGAGAGGTGGAGTGAGTTTCCACGTGTGTTCCCATGCATCATCATTACACCCCCCCACCCCTTTCTCCACTTTTCCCTCGCTTGCTCCCTCTGTTTTTAATGATTCTCCATCCCCGAGCGGAGGCCCTCCCCCTCTTTTTCCTCCCCCCTTGTGTGAGAGAGTGTCTAATAGTTAGATGACAAGGCACAAAGGCTTCCATTGTGCCCCTGCATGCCTCGTACTATACCAGCCTGGCAGGCCATTGATGCGCCGCCTTGTAACCTAGTGGGAAGCCGAGAGTCGCTGCTCCCTCTCGTTCTCTCTTTTCTCTCCGTCTCTGGAGATATGATGCAGCACGCTAACACAACCTGACAGCCGGGCCACAAAGACGACCCTGTTGGAAGCACTTGAGTGGGAGTTTGCTTTGGGCAGGGGAGGTGATTTGCATGTGTTTGTGTGTGTGTGAGTGTGTGTGAGTGTGTGTATGACAGAGAGAGAGAAATATTTTGTTGACCCAGTGGAGTGTCCTTTTCCCTGCAACCTGTATAACGATTATTTCCCTTCATTGTCTGTCGTTGAAACCAGACGATCTTTCAGGGCAGTAAATCAACGCTCTGAGAAATGGTTCCGGTGCCTCAACCGATGCTTAGTTCTTTAAAAATCCCGGTGTCGGAAATCCGGCGTGAAAGCTTTTGGCCTCTGTCGACTTGAGTTTGACTGTAGGCTAACGTTACGTGACCCATGTAGTGAGAGTTCTGCCTCCAGAGTTAAATTTATTGTTTGGAGATGGACCCAGTGTCCCTCATTCTGGGCCTCCCAAGTAGATGTGGTAACATCAGAGAGCAATAGGAGGTTATACCGCAAGGAAGAACATTTTACTGCAACGCATGAATGAAAAGGAGACGACTGTTAAGGGGCTGACGGAGAGTGCTTCTGGACTTGGTGCCATAACTTACGTGAATACGAAAACAGACCAATTCTACAAAATCTGGGAAACTTATTTGAACTCAGACCCCGGGAGTCTCTGCAATCATCAGGGTTTTTCTCGATGAAGATCATTTAATGTATCCAGATTGAAAAAAACATGTTGATTAAAACAAAATAAACTTGGCATGTAAGGTGATGTTTCTGTTGCCTGTAAATCGAGGCGTCCGGACATGGTTGGAGAGAATGGGATGTACAGTAAATTGCTTGTGTGTGTGTGTTTGTGTGTTTTTTCCGTGTCTCATAGCTTCTGGGAACGAGGACCGCAGGCTTGTGGCTTTTCAAGTTCCGATCCGTAGCCAGACCCGGCTTTTGTTTCCTTTGACATAAATTCCTCACATTCATCGTTCCAGTAAAAAAAAAAAAAAGTTACATAATGAAGAGACGTGCTTCTCTTGGCCGGGCCCTCGCTTGTACCTCTTCCCATGCTGCAGTTACTGGTCTGTTTCAGCTTGAGCAAAGCAGCCGGCTGCATGAAGAGTGGGGGGGGGGGGGGCTTAAAATTCCAAAATCACTTCAATTACTAGTGTGTGTGTGTGTGTGTGTGCCTGAAGAGCAAAATCTGAAAGTACTCAATAACGATAAAACACTCAGTAAGCAAGAAACTCCAAGCGCCTTTAATGACAAAACATTTTCAACAGCTCCTTTGGCAGATGTTAACGGGAGGAGGAGGGGCGGGAATCAACCCCCTTAACCAGCCATCGTGATCCCAGCGGTAGTAGACGAATTCCCTCAGGGGCCGAATGAGAGAACGTCATTTAATTTACAATATTTTTGAATAGGCAATGGCTTTTCATTCCCCGGCAGCCGAGTCCATCCCTCGGCACTTCCTCCTGGAAATGAGCATCGTCTTGTTGAGTGTGGGTGCTCGGCTCCTTAAAACTTTCATCACTTTCACCGTGGGAATATTTATTTGGATGGACGGGTCCGTAGTTTGATCCCCGGTTCCTCCGGTCTGGATTCCAAAATATGTCCTCCTTGGACAAGCTGCTGGGAGAATGGAGCTTTTTAACCTTGCAGAACTTTGACACACACAAACAGAATCCTGTAGCACACCAGAGAAAAGGGTTTGACGTCACTCACAGCTTGGCCTCTGCTGTAATTTTGGATTTGTCAACATTTCTTGATCTGGAGACGATCTAGGGGATCGTAACACTTGCGTCAGAGTCTCTGCACACTGACTACATTATTGGCATGAAAGAACGCATGACTGGCTTTCGATGAGGCGTGTTGTTGTGTTGTTGTAGCAGCTCTGATAACTGGCTTGTTTTCATGCCGACTGCAGCTCCGAGAAAAAGAGCTCTGGCTCTTGATGCCCACGGTGTAACTGACATCATATCCAAATCTCGTCCAAAGAGCGGGGCTCCCTCTCCACTCACAGTTGGAGTCTTCGCAGAGGAAGAGTCCAAACACCAGGGAATTCTCTCTGTTCCTTCCTTCTCTCTTTATCTCTCTCCTTCCTCTTTCTGAAATATTCTGTCGCTCCAAGGAGAATGGTAAATTTGTTGTGTTGTAAAGCAACACTCCCTATAAGTTTTGTGTTCCTCTTTTAACGTATTAGTGCAGTGCTTGTTGTAAACCTTCCTGTTTGGAACGGGCTGTTGTTGATGCCGGTTGCAGCTTTCTGAAACTGTAATGTTTCACCATCTTCAATACTTGATCTTTGCGACCAAGCTCTCTCAGAAGTCGCGTGTCTCCAGATAAGGAGCTTTTAAATTTGGGCCTTGTATCATGTGTTGTTGGTCGGATAAGTGTGGCGAAGGCTTTTGTGAATTTTAAATCTTTCCAATTGTCTCAGAATGAAATAATCAGCGGGTGTTTTGCAAACGAGCACCATGAAGATTTCCATCTACGAGATTAAACTGTCGCACTGACCCAGATTTCTCTTTTCTCTCTTCCAGGTAAAGTGTTGAATACTGATTTGCGTCACTACCTCAGCCTGCAGTTTCAGAAGGGCTCCCTGGACCACAAGCTCCAGCAGGTGATCAGGGACAACCTGTACCTGCGCACCATCCCCTGTGAGTAGCCTCCACAGCCTCCTCTCTCTGCCTGGGCTCTGCTCGCTGTCCTCTGACCCCCGGAGCCTCACCTCCAACTTGCACCGTCCTACATTTTACTCGTCTTTTTTCTTCCCTTTTAACTTATTTTCCATTCAATTCCCTTCTCTGCTCCTCTGTTCACCAGATAATACGAATGTCTGATTCATGTAGGCTGCGAAACTTTGCTCCTCACTTCATAATCTCAGCATAATTAGAAAAAGCAGCCTTAGTTTTAATGTCGCAGGAAAAACCTGAGAAGACTTTGATATGGAAAGCGGACTTTATCTGACGTGAGTAAAATATGCTTTAAGACTACAAGGCTTGTAGAAGCTGAAATCAAGTGGAATTACAGCTTCTCAGTTTTTATTTAACTTAGACTAAAAATATAAAAAGGGACATTTAATCTTCAGTTTCTGATAATAGTCAGAACATGGTAATCCAATTATATACATTAAACTATATATTTATATTTAATATGCATTATACTATATGTATATATTTAATATGCATTATACTATATGTATATATTTAATATGCATTATACTATATGTATATATTTAATATGCATTATACTATATGTATATAAAAGGAGTGACAGAGTGATGGTAAATCTTTTCATTCTCGTTCCACTTTCTGTGTTTCCCTCTTTATGAGCCTCCTGCACTGTTTCTTTTAAAGCAGAAGAATAAATAACCAGGACTGAACAATTTTGTTTTTATACTCGACTGATTTTAGAACAGACACCAAGGCCAACAGGCGGAACTGAAAGAGCAGCTGCAATTCTCTCGGCTGCACCGCTGAGCCGAGGAACTTTTTTTTTTTTTTTTTGTACCTTCACTCCAGACATCGTTTATTGTCTGTGTAACTCTCACGCTGCATTTGAAAAGCTCTTTACATTTTACATTGCGGGTCAGTCATTTTAATGAAATGCTTATAACACACATCATTATTTAGAATAAGAAAAAGAACTACAAAAACAGAAATGCAACCAAATATATAGTAATATTAAATTAGAAACATAATTTTGCCTGTTTATTCTGTAAAATAAAAGTTTTAATGTTGGTGCATCACATATCGTATATGCATAACATGTTGCTCAGTACATGTTATGGTCTATTTAATTAACGTATAAATCCATTCCAGGAAGCTACCATGCAAGATTTAAAAACTTGCTCCGTGCACATCCCACGTCGGGCTTCAGCAGCTCAGCATATGTCCCCTGTCCACTCCAGCGTGCCAGCGGCTTATCACAGCAGGCTGAGCCACAGTGACCCTGCGAGGAGCCTGAATGGCCGCTACTGCCCGCCGCTCATTACAGCGGCCCGAGTCGCATCTCATAGCGAGAGAAGCACGACTTCCGTCTTGGCTTCATTAAGCGTAACTCTCGTCTCCGCCAAAAGATGACACCAGGGGTCCAGGGCACCGCAAAATCTTCGAAGCTTGGCCACATCCCAACCCCACCCAACCCAGAATGCCTCTCTCCTTCCCTGGGCATTAATATCCGTCATCTAAATCAGCTCCACGAGACTCATTACAAGATAAATGAAAAAGAAGATAATTGTGGAAATGTACAAAAACTGCAATCATAAGCACTTAAAGTAAATTGTTAAAAAATGCCTCTAGCACCTCCCCAAAAATGTAACTACCCGTCGACAGTATTTCCATAATCTCCTCCTCTGCACAGACCTCCTCCTCCAACGTCTTTCTTTTCTTCGTTGCAGTTCTTTAAGAAAAAGTAATTGCTCTTCAACATCCGTCAGCTCCAACTCCAACATAATAACACTTGCTCCATTGTTCTGGAGGAAACAGAGAGACGCCAGAGAGAATTTATAAATAAGTGGACCAGAACCTGGAAGACTCTCAACACAGTAGAACAGAAACTCTACGGCCACTAGCGTTTCGGCTAAACACCCGAGCATGAACGCTCACAACGCGGAAACCATGACCTGTTTGTCTTTCAAAATCGCCTCTTGGAGTTATTTCAGATGATAAACATTCACTTGTGGAGAGAATTAAAACTGTGAAGGTCTGAACACTGATGCGACTTGTCTGAGAGCCGTCAGTAGTAAGTAGCTGAATAAACAATACAGAGCTAATCCTTCTTCCAAAAACAAGCTCATCTCTCCTCCTTTTGTGGCCATGCATGGTCTCCTCTGATCCGTGTGACACAACAAAAGAGGGTGTCTGCTGCAGCCTGAGCTGTTTCAGATGTGATGGCTCATGCTGACGTCAGGATGGATGTTGACACAAGAGAGAAAATGAAAATAAAAAAAAAAAAGGGGGTGTGGGTATTGGTTCCTTTTAAATTCCCCCGTGTCTGCAGTGCAGCCAGAGAGCAGAACATTTCAGCTGAGGTTCTGTAAAAGCTGATTACATGGAAGTTGACGGTTGGAAGAGTCTGCCTGTTTTTAAGGTCTCACCGAGAACATCAACAATGCAAAACGTGACAGTTTCTTAAACCAGCTGCAGCAGTTAACGGCAGGGAGGAGAAATGCGTTACAGCTCTTTGCTTCTGGAACAGCACTGTGTTTTAAAGTGGGCAAACAGAAGAAGTTAATATTTTAAGATGAAATAAAAAGTTAAAACCCTCGAGCTTATTCTACAACTGCCGCCTCGAGATCCTCTCAGACGTAGAGAACGACCGACCTTGACCGAAACTGCCGGCGTGAAGGAGACGACATTCACAATCTGCGATGTTATCAGAAGGGACTTTAACAGTGACGGTGCTCTGGACGCGAAAGTTCATTATATGAATCACAAATTCAGAAAACATCTGGAGTCGTCATTATTTTTAGTTGAGCGAGCCACCGTTAGGTACATTGAATTAAACTGCATTATATCACCATGGAAACAAAACTATGTGAGCTACGTGAGGAAAATAAAATCACACGGTGAATAGATGCAGGTATAGAAATAGTGCAGTTATTCAATCAATGTGCAGAAGGTCACCAGGTCGTCCATTCAACACATCTCACGAAAACACATCTCACGAAAGCTTCTCCTCACTTTATTATTTATTCCTTATGTATTTATATTGATATAGTTTTTTAATTGCATCCTTAGGGATGAAGGTTGTTCGCCTTTAGAATTAAAACTAAATGCGTGCAATTAAAGTTCTGTTTATTGTCGTCGTCAGTTACACTTCACCTGTGTTCTGACAGCTGTGCTGCCGTGCGGACGATATTTTCCCTCTGTTTTATATTTGAATAATGAATTCGCAGCTTCGTGGTCCCGGCTCTGTTGACTATTCATGATGTAGATACAGATTCTCCCCTGTGTGCTGTGTTTGGACTGGAATCACTTCCCTGTGGGCGTGTCGGAGACAGAGTCACTTTCAGCTCCTCCATCATTGAATGGCTCGTTCCACTTGTGTGGTTGTTCCCTCCCTCCGTCTTAAACTGTGTTGTTACCGGCAGGTACCACTCGGCAGCCCAGAGAGGGGGAGGTTCCTGGTGTGGACTACAATTTCATCAGTGTGGGGGAGTTCCGTGAGCTGGAGGAGAGTGGACTGCTGCTGGAGAGCGGCACCTACGATGGTGAGTCTCGATACATTATATGTAAGGAAAGCACACCGTTATTTGAAGGTGGGTATCAATCACCCTATTGGCTCCTGCAACGTTTAAAGGATAAGCACAATTTATAATGGATTGATTGATTAATTGATTGATTGATTGATTGATTGATTACCCTCTGAATACATTAGAGATTAAGTAGACAAAATAAAGGTTGAAAAGACCAAAACAGAAAAGCAAGAACGTGGATTTAACATAAATTACTGAATATTATGTTACGGGGACATTACATCATCTCAGTCCACACCCCCCCCCGACCGATGCCCCGGCCATTAGCTCTCTATTTTCGGAGATGTGTGTCGTAGAGGTCGCCAGGTGAAGTCAACACATTGCCCGTGTCATCAAACTGACACCGTAAATGTGACAGGACTGGAGATTATGTGTCCTCAGGGGATTCTTTTGCCTAAAAGAACTTCGCTCTGGTCCTTAACGTGCAGCATCAAATGTGAGAGTTCTCCCTCGTCCGCCCTCTGTCCCACATCCAGCGCTGAGAGACCGGCCCTCCAGCCCCGAGCCTGGGAACGAGTCGACGGGATGAATAATGGATCTGCCGTGCCCTCAGCTGCTTAATGCAACACAAGCCAGTGTGTATTGGAGGCACATATTCATAATCATTAATGACTTTTGAACCACTCAGACTTTTGATCCCCCGAGTCTCCACAGATAAATAAAAAATCTAAGACACGCGTGTGCAGACAGATGCTGGAAAAGAGCGGCAGCCTGTTTAATGAAGGATCTAAAAAAAAAACGACACATGGTTGTGGTGCAAAAGATTTTTGAGGAAATACTGAGTTAGAGCTTCATATCACATAGACTCTTTATTTTATTGTGTTATGGGTTCGATGTTCCCACTTTTTATGTCCCCCATTGTTTTTATTGGTTCCCTCGTGTGGGACGAGCGCTGAACTAAGCTGAACTTTAAGAATCAAGAGCTCAGGGAAAACCCTGTTCCTTCCGGCAGCTTGTCGTTGTGCATCTCTCTCCACCGTCTCGTGTCGTGCCTTTAGCTTCTTCAGTGCACATTAGACTCTCTCTGAACGAGGCCTTACTCTTCCTTACATTTATCCGGTTGAATGGAAACATCGACCTGGGCGGCCATTTTCACCGCTGTGACTAATCCTCGGCTCGACGCGGCCACGGTTAATCTGAAACCGAGAGCGATTCTGTCTCCCGGCGCTCTGCTGGAGCCAATAACTGAGCCGATGAGCGTTTCCAGGGATCGGTTGTCATATCGCTCACCGATAATAGACCGTCGTGTCAGAAGAGCAGAGAAAATCCTCTGCGTTTATGAAATCGCATCTCAGAATTAGTCAGTAACATTTTTATAGTTCTTCTCGACAGTCTGGAGAAAGTCTGAGCAGCAAAGTTTGAGTCAACCATCGCTGGATTGTACCGGGATGTTTAAGCAGCACAAAAACAAAGAGATTGCTTCACCAGTTTTTGTTTTGCAGAACGATGAAAGTGTCAGGGTGTGAGTAATACTTGTTGCCCCGGCTGTGTTGAAACTCTCAAAAATTGGTTTTGTCCGATTGTGTGTGTGTGTGTGTGTGCATGTATGTGTATTAGGGCATATCCAATTTTCTACCCCTCACTGTGGAGGAACCGAACTGAGGAAACAGTCATATGAATCATTCATGACGGAGACAGGGGCAGAAAAAATGGGCGAGAGAGATTTCAAGAAAAGCAGGTGTTGAAAATCACAGTCAGCAACAGAAGATGCAGCTTTGTGTTTACAGGGATGTTTTACTGCTGGAGCCAATTTGTGCTGATCATTTATTTTCTACCTTTTCCTCCTGTCAGATAATTTATACTGTACCACATGTTTTCTAGTTGTCTAATAACAGGTCGGTATAAATCAGGTTCTTATATCTGTGGAACTAGTGTGAGTTTTCCTCTTTCACTTATCAATTAGTGGCAGATGAGCCGAGAATAGACGACTGATACAAATGCTGACAGTGAGATACCACAAAATAGATTTTAAAAAACAATAAAAACTGTTTTATATATATATATATAACATGATAAAGACAACGTTTCTTTGAGCCCCTGGAACACCCGGTTTAAAAACAGGTCACACAGACAACAGTTCACTGTCTCCTTCTATAATACCTGTGAAGATACCGAGGCCGTGCAGCCCAAACAAACAGCCTGTGTGTCTCATGGTCAGTCGCCTCCTCTCAGTGGAACAGAGGTGATCACGATACACAACGTGAGTCTATTTAGATATGTGGGTTAAAATAGTCTCTGTAAAATGCAGCCTTGAGAATCAGCTGGCGTTACACAGCGTTAACTCGTATCATCTCCTTTCTCCCACGATGCATCGAGCATCAATAAACTGCCTCTGCTGAAGACGTGCGCTGATTTTTGCATCACAGGCGTTGGAAACACAACCCTGATTAAATGTTGATTAAAGGAAAGCGGCGGAGATAACACAGACAGGCACGCAAACAGAAAAGCATGTAAGGGAAAAAAAAAGATATTTAATAGGTGAGATATCAGCACGGTTACTGTTTGTCGTGTGGTCGGACGAAGATGATGAAATCCCCTTTTGAGCGACACACAATTCACTCCCTTTAGGATTTTACTGGAAAAGCTGTCCTCTCGTTTCACTGGACCACGTGGCCGACAACCATTTTATAATAGCGTCCTTTTTGGCTTTTGTGAAGTTCTGAAGGCGAAGAGAAAGATAGAAACAGGACCTCGGGCCAGAAATCACAGAGGAGAGCAGGTGCAGAGGTTCTGTGTTTGCAACAGCTGCCTTCTCGGAAGTGGCCAAAAAGAGGCGAGGGTGATTAAGAAGCACCTCAGCTTCTTGGACTGCGCTGCTGATAACACATGAGTTAGATTAGTGTTGTTTGCGAACAGGTCCAAGAAATAAAAAAAGCTGAAACTTAAAGTGGAAGAGCAATGAATGGAGCGATAAGGTAGCAGGGATTAGGATGGATGACAGCAGCTCAATGTATAAAAATAAGGATGAGAGTAAAGATTGGAGCGCTGTGCAATTTATAGTGGGTGTCACGGCACAGACTGAGGAGATGAACATAGACTGGAAAGGAAGTTTATTTATGTGAGGGAGGTCACCTGACAGTGGATTGTGAAGCAGTGCACCACACACACACACACACACACACACACCGAGGGAGTAGAGGAATGCAGGGTTGACAAGGTTGGCTTGTGAAGTGTGGGCATCCATGCCAAGCAGCGCCCCGAGCTCTGTGCTGAGCTCTGGAGCGCACGATGAGCTTCACCTGCCTGTGGCCCCGTGAGGCAGCGATGAGGTCTGGGCAGACCGGGCGCTGCCCAAGAGTGGAGGCCCATCCTCAATGATTAATGAGGGTCTGCGACCGTGTTCGGAGAGGCAGGGGGATAGACGTGGAGTGAGGACGGGGCCGGAGAGGGTGGAGATCGCGAGGGCTGAGCCAGAGCATAAACCCCTCTGAGAGATTTTTTCCCAAGCTTTCACAACATGAGGGATGTCTCCAGTTTCCATTCGTGTTTGAAAACAACGCCACAAAACCGTTTGCTTGCATTTCTCATGGCTGAACGGCCGTGAACGCATGAATGTGTGTTTTGGTCGTAGCTCAGGAGGATGTAGTGACGTGTGGAGTCTCGCTGCGGATGAAACCGGAGTCACAGTTGTACTCAGATCTGAGTCAGATTCTCACGGATTGGAGATGAGAGATAATGACAGCTGCTGACTAAAACAGATGGCGTGACACACACACACACACACACACACACTCTTTCTCAGCCATTAACACGCACGGCCTTCGTGGGGCACCAAAGCCTTAAACGAGAAGCAAGTAAAAAAAAAAAAAATGTTCCCTGCGACTTGGAACTACTTCTTACTGGCAGCCATCACAACTGAGCATGTGTAAAAGGGGCGAGTGGCTGTGTAATTCACTGACAGTGCCAAGCAAGTGTTGGCCCCGGCTGTTGAAAATGAAAACGGCTTCGCTTTGCACTGTCCACCCACCACTTTCACAAAGCTGCAAAAAAATAAATAAAAAAGGAGCTTTAATGTAATGACACTGTGCTGAAATCATCAGCCCTGTTGTGTGCACGCCGCGTGAGAGAGAGGAGTTAAATTACATGAGCACGGACGACGACCGGAAATGTCGAATTTTCCACTGGGTCAGTTATTTTCTGACTTGTGTGAAGCGTTGTTGTTAAATTCCACCGCAAGCTGAAATAGTAAATTGTCTGTGATGGAAAAAAAACAAAGCTCAAGATTTATGTGCTCAAGATAAAATGTTTGTTTATGTCAGAGAAGTCAAAGCATGTTTGCTCAGAATGCTAACAAAGCAGAAACATGCTGCCTTTGTGTGTCATTCTGAAACGTGCAAAAAAAAAAAGGAGGCGTCGGCATGTGGACACGTAGGTGGCTTGGAAGACGTTGACATTTTTGGGTTTGGCCGTTTCACAGAAAGAAAGCAAACAACATTTGAGGCTACGATATTTTAAATCGACCACTAGCTACACTACCTCTTTTTCCCCTCTGTTCCTTCCTTGGTGAGAAATCCGGTCTTCAGCCACATTTCCTACTCTCGTGTTTTGCCATTTCACGCAGACGCAGTGAAAGAGGAGGATCTAAAACTATGCTTCAACTGTGCCTGACGACAGCCGACCGAAATATCTTGACATGTCAGATATTCGTTCATTTGATTGCACCCCTAGTTCACGCAAAAATGATGAAGCTGAAAATCCGTCCGGCTCTAAAATAAGTCTGGCGACTCAGAAATAGATCAAAATTGGTCTGAAATCACAGTGTGCGCTCGGTTTAATGTGAATCTGGCCTCTAATGGGTGGAACAGCAAAACCAACAGAGATGTATATTAACATCAACAGTTTTCCTGCAGCGCGTCATAGAATCCCTGGGTCAGGAAAATGTGTCCATCATTAGGAAACAGCGTGTGGGAAGATTTATTCCTCCCGAGATCTTACTGTAATATTTCCTCTCATCTGATCTGCAGCTTGTTGTTTCATTAAAAAAAGCAGCAGCAGCTCTCTGACTTGCGGAGCCACATACCAACAGGTGTTCATCTTTGTCGCTCGCACAGTCTTGGGGAGCTATTAGCACGGTGGCTCCCAGGCTTTTTTTTTTTTTTTTTTAATTCTTCCTCCTTTTCTCTTTCCAATAATGAACAGCCCATTAATCTAAGGCGGTAATTACGCTGGAAGTATGTGGTGGTCAGTCTGACATCGTTAGGGTATCATTCAGTATTTGTCCTCGCATCCCAAAACGAGAAGTCTTTGTCCTGATAATTAAACATTGGACTTGTTAATGAGGCAGAAACACTGAATCCATCAGGACCATGTGGAGCTCAGATCTGTGTTTTCTCTGCCTCGCTCTCAGACCATTAGTTAGCGAGCAGCCTCCAGGTTAACGACGAGAGGGATTCTACAATTGCTGTCAGGCAGCTTCAGCTACACTTCACATCAGGAAGATTAATGAATATTATATATTTTATAATGTCTGGTGACATCAGATTCATGAGACACCCAGAGCCCTGAGGCATCATGTTTCCGGGTTGTCTTGTGAACATGCCATCATGAGAACGGTCAAAGGTCAAGATTACCTGCCGTCTTCGGAGCACGTCCAGAGAATCCTTTCAAACTAGGTTCAAACGATCAATAAGACTCACCGAAGAACTAATTCGAGTTTGGTGAACAAAGGTCAAAGGTCACTGTGACCTTACAAAACATGTTGTTGGTCTTATGAACACAATGTTTCAGAGACAATGTTTTCGTCCCTTTGTACGTGATGTCTCAAGTCTGATTTCCGGGCATCGCTTTAAATGTCAACTGATCAGATTTGAATGGTCAGAGGTCACGGTGATGTCATATGAGAAGCGGTTGGCGGAGGCGTGCGACCACCGGGGCAGGAACTGGAGTTCAGTCAGTGCTGGAGGTGTTCGGCTTAATGTGGAGAAACTTTTTATTTAATTTGATTTTTTTTTTTTTAAAAAGCACAGTTTTTAAGTGAAAACAGAGAAATGAAATGAATTTAGAAGTAGAACAAATGTAATTGTGACACAGTGAGCACTGCGTGTACCGGGGAGGAATAGATTCCACTGAATAGGGAACGAGTTCTGGATGCAGATGTGGTGCAGTCAGTTAAGAGGCCGGCTTGTTTTACAGCAAACCTCAAACCTCGTAATCCACCATGACCTACTTGTTCTGTTCAGTTTGGATTTTTTTTCTTTTGCAAACATCAAGTATCCAGTCAACAGAGGGAATGGAACTTCTTAGTTCTAACTACATACTTTAAACTTTCTCAGAATTTGCTGTCCCACTTTCTAAACTTTTTAACATGTTCTCTGAACAGAACTTGTTTATCAATCGATTAATCTGTAATTAAAAACCAAAAAAACATCATCTCGTAACTTGGATTTAAACGTCAGGCAGGTTTGTAAAAGGACCATAATGATTTCGCAATGTTCGTGTGTGCGTGCAGAAAGCAAAAGCTGGATTAATGTAACGATCACCTCACACCTACCTTGACTTAATAACCTGCCGTCATTATTCAGAATTAATTAAAAAATGTTGCCAGTCAACAGTGATTAAACACTGAACTGAATTATAACCAGCAGCAAAACAAAGCATCTCTCTATCTATCTCTCTATCTATCTATCTATCTATCTATCTATCTATCCATCTATCTATCCGTCCCTCCATCCATCCATCCATCCATCTACAGGCTTTATAACGTCAGGAGAAAAAGAACAAATACAATTTCTAATCAAAATCAAACATGACGCTTCAGCCGATCCTGACTTTGTCGGTTTCTGATAAAACTTTATACTTTATCCTCTCAAGTGGCCTAATTACCACACATCAGAATGAATGACAGTGTGATCCGTCTTTATTCTCGCACTCTTTTCATTTTCTGCTGCCCATCACGTGTGAAGAAGGATTTCATCTGATGTTCTTTAGTTGCCCATTCACTTATTTATTCATCACGCATCTATTAGAATCACGAACGTTCATCTGTTTGATGGAGCCTGTTTGTGAATAATTCCTGTTTGTACGGCCGGTTGAAATCTTTGATATGACAAAACATAGGACGCGCATGAAAAGAAAGATGGGACGTCTTTTGTCGTCACATTAGAATATTAATACAAATGAGAATTCAGCTTCTGCACTGTCATGCGCGCACACGGGGGAGCACTGTGCCCCATAGCCACAGAGTATAAATGCTAAATTACTGTGTTTTTGTTAAAATAACTTGAAACTAAATGAGTCTCAAGCAAAACAGCTCATTTAATGAACTGAAGCAGAAAGTCCCGAACCCTCCGAGATACAACTCACTTAATAGTTCAGGCTAATAAGTAAAAAAACACGGAGCCTCTGGTTGTTTGAGTTCTTTCTTTTTTAAGATTGTGTGTTTTTTTTATCTGCCGGGGATGAAGTTCTGCTTTTCATATTGTGTAATTACAACCCTCATCTCACTGCTTCTCCTTATTGCGACCACTGTCTTCCACTAATGTACGCTCAGCAGCGTGCGTGCACGTTTGGTGTGATCTTCAGGAGCCGGAGAGAGTGCACGGAGCAAATTACCACTTCTAATTGAACTCCCCCAATTTGCATTTCATCAGTAAGCGCGGCATTAATTACAAACCTAGTCGAGGATTTAATGGTTTAAACAAGGTGCTGATATTAAAACATGGATTCCTGTAATTACGATGTATGCTTCAACGTGAACATCAGATAAATTGCACTTTTCTGTTTTTTCTGTTCTTTAGCAGGTTTTAATCACATTTAATGAAGTAATCTACTACGTCAATTTGCTGAAAAGTCGTTATTTCCACTTTTCTCTCATCCTCACTTTGTGTTTAACGGTCAATCAGTTCATATCTTACTTCATTTCACAGATTTTTCTCTGTTTTGAACATTCGTCTCTAAGTTTTCTCTCTTTTCCTCTCGCTCTCTGCTGCCTCTGGTTCTTCCTCCTTTCTTGTTTCCCCTCCTCTTCCTCCCAATCGGCTCCTTCATCACTGCGTCGGTCCACATCCCTGCTGAGTCGTTTAACTGTTACAGCACAGTTTTCAGCTCCTCAGACGCAGCTTGGTCTTAACCATGCTGCAATAATCCCACACACACACACACACACACACACAGGAGCGCTGCTGTCTCCCACGTACACAGCACAACCAGTGAATCAATATTTGTATCATACCTTCCTAACTCTTTTCTCACCTCTTGCGCTTTTAAGTTTGGATCCTTTCTCCTATTTCTTATATCCTCCCTGCACGGAGAGAGAAGGTACCGAGTGGTAAAGTGGGTCACCCCTCTCCTATAGTTGTGGGAAGACTCGCTCTGCGGAGTGAGGCTGGCTGTTGCCTTAGGCGCCGACATGACAGCAAAGGCAAACCGATGGACTCAAAGGGGAAATCGAGTGCTTGAGAAGTTACCTTGGTATAAATGTTGTAGTCACCGGCCTGTTGCGACTGCTGCATTACTCAGTCGTAATAAAACGTGTGTAGAAACACAGAGGACATAAACACATGACATGAATTGTATGAATTGAATATTTGATAAACAACTAAAACCTCCAGGGATTCCTGAGGTGTCAAAAAACGCCCAGTGGTTCAACAAAGGGAGAGAAATTCCCGGATCCGCCCTTTTTCTGGATCCATATCAAAATGTAATGGGTTCTTCCCTGACCTACCATAAAGTTTCATGGAAACCTCTTCAGTAGTTTCTGCACAATCTTGCTTAGAAACAAACAGAGCATCAAACAAACGGCCCGGCCGTTATGAGAGCATAACCTCCTTTTCAGGGGTAATGAAATAAAACAATAAATTAGGCAAATGGATTTCTCGCAGAGGGGAAACCAGCGAGGGATCGTATCTTTGTTGTTGCCTCACGAGCTCTCGCCTGATGGTTTGATCAGCAGGTTTAAATCTGGGGAGGCAACACGACCCTCTCCTTGTGTTGGAGGAGCAAAAGATTCCCAACTGAGTGGGTCAAAAAAAAAACAGAAAACACTTTCCATTACGACTCTTCCAAAACCTGAGTTATGACAGTAAAGGTTTGGCATCATCTTGTTCCAACCTGTTCGGCTCTGCCAGATTTGATTTGTAGCTCGCAGCCAGACTCCCCTGTGCCTTTTAAAGGAAATTCAAGCAACTGTTGCAGTTGGAGTGATATGGTCTCTTCTGGATTTGTTATCAACACAGCACTTTTCTGCTTCTTGAACTGTTCTGTGCAAAGCCATAAAAAAGAGATAGTGTTCAAACCATGTGTGTGTTTTACTGTATTCCTAGAATCATGTGTAGAAAAAATCCTTAAAACAAGTTTGTCCTGCAGTTTCTCTTACTGTTGTTAAGTTATTTCTGGGGGTAAATGAATTTCATCACGTGTTCAGTAAAACTTATTCACAAGTGATGTTTTATTGTCTCCCTCTTTTTCGTTCCAGGAAACTTCTACGGGACCCCGAAGCCCCCTGCGGAGCCCAGCCCCGTGCAGCCGGACCTGGTGGACCAGGTTCTGTTCGACGAGGAGTTCGACACGGAGGTCCAGCGAAAACGCACAACCTCCGTCAGCAAGATGGACAGAAAGGACAGCGCGGCTCCAGAGGAGGAAGAGGAAGAAGAGAGGTCTCCTGTGGTCAACGGCCTGGCTGGTGAGAGACGCTCTTTTATTTCACAGTTCTCGCAGCTCATTGTGATGCAGTCGTGTTTTTCTACCAGTTTAAGCCACCGTGCATTATTTTCTGTGCTCAATTTATTTATCTATTTATTTATTTATTCATTTGTTCCTGCAGTTCATTATGTTAATGTGAAAATGCAAAACAGCGAGTTCTCTCTTCTCTCCTTCATTCTCCTCTCCAAACAAACATTCTCAGGATAAGCTGCTCCGCATGCGAGTTCAGCACTAAATCACGACCCGGCAAAGTCAAGACACAGCCAAAGTCGGTGTGAGATCAGTGGAAGCAAACTCTCGGTTGCAGAGAGAGACTTTGTCCTTGTTTGATTCCTCCTGTGATGTCCTCACACGGCTCACAGGACAAATAAATGGCAACGTGTTTGGGATGATGTGAACTATTGTCCTTAAAAACAGCTTCATAACTGAGAAACACTACAAAATAAAAGGCAAATACAGAGTCAGAGAAGGTTTTATTTTCAGCACCGCTCACCCGTCGTTAACCAGTCGACTGCTTCTGGCTCTTTGCTGCTCCAGATGGAGCGAGCCCCCTTCAGCTGGCCCGTCCTCTGCTCTGGCTTCAATGACAGGCCCCTAACTAACCCCAGCTCACACCAGCCTGGTGCAGGAGAGTCTGGATCATTAGCCAAATGAGCAGCTCTGCACAGAAGGAACCAAAAACAGCTCCTGTCCAGTGCATATTGGGGAAATGCTGGTAAATATCCTGTGTACATGCAGGAAGAATTTAAAGAGAGTTTAACTGACACCAGCCTGAATGAATTTGAATTAAATCCTTTACACGCTGTCATTATCACATATTGTAAATATGAGCCGAACATACGGGCCAACGAAACCTCCGGCCACCTGGAAATCAATCTATATTTATTGTGAGACTGAGAATCACAAATTGGAAAAAAATTGGCAAGGGCACAATATAAGAAACATTGTCAGAGATGGGAAATAATCTCTGTAATGTGATGATGGTCGGCTGGAGCCCAGCCAAGAAAACTCCCCCATGGTAGACAGATCGCAAACCTTTGTCATCGCGTGCGTGGATTGGATTGAAGCGGGACAGATGTGCAACAAAAGAAAGTGGCCGCGGACACGTACGACTCTGCCTCGGAGGTAGTTTAATAATGGTCGTGCATCACTGTGAATGGCCAGTTCTTCTTTTGTGAAGCCCGCACGCCCCCAAGTTCACAGAAGACCCGTGTTTGTATTTCTCTGAGAGGCCCGAATGCGGCTAATGGCCTCGAGCTAGTGTCTGTGCGTCGGTATTTATTCTGACTTCATTAGGGATGAATCCCGCCCCCCATGAAAAGAGAGAGGCCCCAATTTCATCACAAAAAGCTATAGACGTCTTCCAGTCAACAGCTGTCACTTTCTATCTCCACCATTCAGTTGCCCCGGCCAGACAGACTGAGCATTCAATACCACGAGGAAGCTAGGTCATGAAAACCTGCAGACTAGACACACACACACACACACACACACACACACACACACAGGATTAGGCAAATACACACGTGTGTGATAGTAATAGAGTTGTGATGTGGTGCTCGTGGCTGAAGCTGAAGCATTGGTCAGCTCTGCCCTTGCCTCGGAGGCAGTTCCCAGTACATCGCTGCTGACATGCAAATCCTATGGCAATT